GAAGGAGCGCAATCCTCTAGTTTTCATAGTAAGCCATTATATAGTGGAACTGATTATAGCAATTTGATGTGCATCTGTCTCAAAAATAATCCATTGAAAGTTTCCTGTGAAGTCACAGATTTAATTAACATCAATTTTCAGGATGTTGATGCCGGTAATTCTTCTGTTAGTATAGGAGGAAACACTCATTTCAGAGCAAATTCTTGTTTCTGAATCAGCTCACTGTCAATATTGCATCAGTTAGAGGCATATGGATGCAATCACATTCCAGGACACCTTATTTGGTGTCTTATGGACCCAGGCTATTGTCTAACTACACAATCTCAGAGTACCACAGCAATAAGGTTCTGTGCTTTGCAGACTCCTCATGCCAATTTATGTAAATCACTCTTTCATCTGTTTAAATACGACGATCTTTGAGTCATGAAAACAGTTATGACTGTCACAAACAGTTTGAAAGATTAAAGTAATTCTGCTGCTGGCATATAAAGCAGTGTTCCACATCTAAACACAAGCTTTGCCCAATCTGTAATGTCATTGCTGGGAAGGATAAAAAGTTTTAAGCAAACATTATCACTGCAAGGAAGGATTTTTCATGTTTGACACTGGACATAAATATCCTCCCACACTGTTTAATGTGAGAACTGCATATGTGTGGCAGAGATAATAAAACATATCAGTGAAAACAAATGAAGGGAAAAAAGAGTTATGATAAGTAGAACAGAAAATAAAGCTTTGAAGTTAAAAGTCTTCATATTTGTACAGTTTCCTTTGCAAGTATCATTACTTGACATGCAGAACAGATAGTCACAGAATCTTCAAGAGTCTGATATCCTGCAGAACTGATCATCTTTACAGAGAACGTTTTCTGTTGACAGAAGCATGTCTGTAATTGCAGGTAGCAAGAAAACAGGACAACTGGAAGATCCTGGTAAGTGCTATTGCTCTCCTGCTGTTGTTTTCCCACAATCATTTAAAAGGTAGTGGTTACTGAAATTCAGTGCTCTTAAAAATTATTCTTGATTTTTTTTTTTTTTTTTTAAATTCTCTTATTCAGCATTAAAAACTTCAGGAGCTTGACAAATAAAATGGAACACAAGTGACAAAATCAGATTTATAGATTGAGGTACAACATTAGTCCCCTGTGTATCCTCCCTATTCTCATGTCAGAATGTGTAGCAGTTTTGATCAGTTTCTGACCAGTATACTTGGATGTTGTTTTTTTTTCTTAATTTCCTGGTATGATCTCCCCAAGAATAAGTTAAAACATAAAGTAGTTAACATACAAGTGAAGGGAGACAGCCTTAACAGAATTTATTTCATATTTTCTTTCACCCTGGACTATGTCAACAATCTTCCATGGTGCATTTCAACTGGCAAATGAGGAAATGTAGAGCAAAGCTACTGTTCTACACCAGAAATACATTTAAAAGCACAATAGACTGGATGCATGCCCAGGTAACTACTCAAGCCTTGCTAAAATTATTAAGAAATAACTCAGCGGTAAAAATCAGATTTACCTACTTTTTCTATATGGTTGCTGATGTTGTCTGAAAAATACACTACCTTCCTACATGATGCTGTGGCTTGGTCTATGAATAGTTTTCTGTTGCACAGTCCCATGACTGCTCGGTGTTGACCTACGTAGTATAAGACAAAAAGCAGTTGCAGGAACACAATGAACTTAGCCAGCGTTTCCTAAATGGTAGGCTGGAAATCTAAACACAGGACAATTTATTTTACAGTGGGAGTAATCTCAATAGATCTACTGTATTTGAAAAACCTCTCCCTCTCCATTTTGGTTGTTACCTTGGACACTTTAGTGCATGCCATGCCATTCCCAAATAGCTTTGCTTTCCACTACTAATGATTTTCAAAAACTGTTTTGTTTTGACATCAGACTTTTTGCTTCCCAGACTCTGCTGTAAATGGAATTAATTCCTCTAATGGCAAAGTCTTCATCATCAAGATGCTTTAAGAGAAATGAAGACAGGCAGCTATGATCTTCCTACGCTAACTGCTATGAAGCATAAAGACTTTTTGATTTGCACATTCCAATGTATGAGAGAGAAAATCGAGCCCAGACTAAAGTTTTACATACTTTGTGACCTGCAACCAATGAAGGGGAATTTGGGACCAGATTTTGCAAGATCCTGCATGAATCTGTGTTATGCATTTCCACATTTATTAAAAAGGACAAGCAATATGAAATAGTCAAGCGGCAAAATAAGAATTATTTTTTTTTTAAGGCTAGTTGCTACTCCTGTATGTTATTTACTTTCTGGTTTGTATTATTCTTGAGAGAATGCACAAGGAAAATAAAATATGTAATGAAAAACTAACACAAATGGCTACTGGCCAGCATCCCTTCTAGTGAGCTTCATAGCTGCTATAACCAAACTTTTTCTTTTCTCCTTTTCAAAGCAGAGTATTTCTCATACTTATCTAATGATCTGATTTTTATTTTTATTTTTTTTTTTTTAATGAGATGGATAGCTTCATTTAAAAAGTTTTCTTCTGAGCAAGTCTGAGCAAAGTTTTCATAAATTAAGGAGCATTTCAAACAGCCATTAATTTCATTATATCAAAGTTCTTTTTACATATCATGGTCATTTGAATGAGAACAAATTTCTGAAAAAATGCCCCACCATACAGTGATCCACTGGAAATAAAGTGTATATTTATAGTAATTCATAGATCTCAAAATTATAGTAAAAATAATATAACTTGTTGCATATAATATAGTTAAATCTACTAAAGATTACTTCTACTTTGAGAATAATCTAACCCCTTTTCAAAAAGCATGGGCATAACAAATATGGCTAATGAAGTATTAACACAGTTTACATATGTCTTTCATGTGGGAATCACAAAGTACTTGACAAAGATTATCTTTCACTACGTAAAATAGAAAGAAACATTATTTAACATTCTGTGTACCAGAGAAATGAAGCTCTCTCTGAAAAAGAGATTAACCAACTGTTCTAGCATTACATGTCAAGTTGCTAAACTGGGAATAGAACCTAAAGGTTCTGGCACCTAACTCCCTGTTGAAGGCACTGGGCTACATTACATCCAGTTAAACAAACCAGCACTGACATCAGCAGAAGTACAGTTTATCCCCTCTAGCATTTTAAAATGTCAGTCTCCATAACACTCTCAGTGTTTTTTGTTACAACACAGCACGTATTAGATTTAATTGGTATTAATTGGAATTAGGAAATGTAAACAGTTCAATTTAAGCAAATCAATATGTTGTGGTTTGTTGGGGTTTTTTTGGGTTTTGGTTTTTTTCTTACAGTATTTCCAACTTAGCATTGACTAGAAATAATGGGAAATGGTGCATGTGAGAAAAACCTGAGTATCTATGAGTTCCAGCCCTTTAAGCCAGAAGTTTCAGAAAAGCATCTGAGCTTTGGATACTTGCTGTGAGCTGGCAGAAAGATAACAGATCATTTTTCCTTACACTTGCTTAAACCACCACAACTGTTTTTTAAACAAACAAAAGTGAAAACAGATGCTTAACGGATGCTCAGTATTATCAGTTAACTCTTAATTTCAGAGAGGCAGTTGAGTTTCCAGGCACTTATCTGAACTGAACCTCTGAGCTTGACATTTGTACAATTCCTATTCTAGAACCATAAATTAAGACAGGCTTATCTGTTATTTTTATTTATCTTCAGTGTAGAAGTTCATAGGATTTACATTCTAATGCCACATAAAGTACCACCTGCTAATTACAAAGATTCAAATCAATCAGGTGACTGAAGGAGACAGCAAGATCAAGAAGCATGCTGGAGATCATAAAGGTTCTGTAGAAATACACAGCACTATCTCAATCTTGATATTATTGTTAAGCTGTAAGTGAAAATGTTTTAATTAAATAGGTTGGAAAGACAATACAACTGTCTTGCAGTGACTTAAAGATTTCCATTATAATTGTATTCCTTTACTAGTTCTGTGGCAAATAATTTGCAGATCTAACATTGTCCAAATACACTTGCAGCTAAAATAAAAAATATGTCAAATAAATATATTCATTAAGCTCCATGGCCTGGGAGAAGGGTGACGAAGAATATTAGTTCATTGAACAGTACAGTTTAACAGAGATTACTACTTTTAAAACATCGAAGAATTTGGTAAGATAGCCTCATGAAAGAAAGCTATTAAAAATACATTAGGTCAACCTTTATAAAAAGAATGAAGCTAATTTATAAATCATTACAACAATGATCACTAATAGTAGGTAAAGATTCTGCCTGAATTACTAGATTCAGATAGTTCACTTCTCACACAGTAAATTGTTCACAATTTTGGTGAGAAATAGAGCATTTGCTCTGTTTAGCCAAATAGCCTGTATTCCTACAACCCGGCAGGGGTGGGAAAATAATCTTTTACCTTATCTATTTTTCACTGCTCCAGAGACAAATGTACTGGCAGAAGCAGGTGACTGGGAACACAGTCTGGGAAACAGGAGGGCACAGGACTGTTCTTTTCAACAACAGCGACTGGGAAATCACTTTCTTATGCCTTGTTCTGTCTCACACAAGGCAAAAACTTTAAATCTGAATTAGTCAGTTCAGAAGCCCACACTACTGGTAAAAGATGCCATTACTTCATGTATATATGTGCACTTTCTCTAGAAAGGTATTTTTTCATATAGTCTTCAAGAAACCTGAAGCCTTATATTCCCTCTGATAAATTTGGTCTATGATTAACATATTTTTCATTTTGCCTTCAAATAAGGATAAAGAACAAAGCAGAAAATAATCAATAGGAAATGGGTGAGATCAAGGAAACAATTGTCTTTGACAAGTGAGGTTCAAGATCTGTGTAACCATAATACTTAATATATATTAGGCACATTAGGAACATAACTCACTGCAGATAGTAAGAATTTTCAGAGGCCACAGATATTTCATGCAGCTTAGGTTAAGTATAACTTTGTAAACGATTACACTGTTTGCCAATATTATTTTTTTCTTTCCAAATGCAGTTACCTTTCTGGAAGAAATCCTCTAATTTCTCCTTGAAGGGCTGGAGATGCTGTTCGGAAGACTCTCTGCAAACTAACTTCATCTGCTTTTCAGAGGCTACAAAAAGAAGTTGAGAGACATTTGTGGCAGGATTTGTCTACCAGAAGTAGATGTCAACACTGAAAAAACCTACATTTGAATTACCTTCCATTTAGCAACTGAATTTATGAACTACCATATGATTTTTGTCCATTTAAAAAAAATTCCTTCCCAAAAAGCTAAATTTAGATGGAAATGCATTTTTTAGTTAAACCTAAGAGTTATAGTTTGGCTGAATGAAACATATCCACACCATATAGCTACCATCATTATATAATTCAACTTGTTGCAGCAAAAATGAATACAAAACTGTGGAAACAGAAGCTGCAAATTTGTAATTAAAATACTACGTAAATGTAAGTCAAGGGAAAGTTGCAGAGAGATGCAAACATTTTATTGTACAAGTAGTAGTGTTCCTATAATACTCTTGGACCACCAAGACTTACTAAAAATGACAGCTTTTCAATTAATTGATATCAGAAATACATTTAGACAGTTCTTACAGAAAAATGCTGAAAAGCTTCCTGTTCCCATGTACATATTTTCATTTAGCCCACTCCACTCATGTAGACTGTGTCAACTATGACATTACTGGGGAGCTCCAGAGCTACGTAAAATGGCCTGGTCTACAGTCTAAGTTTATCTTTAATCTCTAGTCATGCAACCTGTAGCATTTTGCAACAAAAGTTAATGGATATTTATTTGTATGCTGGAGAGTGGGCAAAAAGAAGTGTTAAACACAACAGGTTGAGAAAGAAAGTATTTTATTAGCTGTTCAGTTATGTGTCTTTAAAAAATTGAGCAAAACAAATGAGAAATTAGGGAAGTTTATGCAACTTTTAAAGATTATTTTCTTTGATACATGCCTCTTACCATTAAAAATGTGAACTTTGAAAGATGGCTATCATACATTAAATTAAATTTTTGTATACTTAACATTCATGTTTGTAGAATTAGGAGATCTCTACATCTAACAAAGCAAATTGTACAACTTTGGAAGAAGATGGACTCAGTAGAACAGTATAGGGGAAAAAATCTAGAAAAATAACTGAGACAGTATTGTTAAGTTTCTGACTGGAAGCTTGAACAAAGTAGCAGCTACAGGATTGTGTTTTTTCTTCATGTTTAAAAAAATCTACAGAAAATTATATAAGGCAATATTTAGAAATTATTTTAGATAAACGACAAAATGTAAAAGCATTAGTACACATGTTCAGGCACTTGGTACACAGTGACTAGAGAATGAATGTGATAATTACAATCATGTAAGGCTGCAATGATTGAAAGTCAATAATTATTTTATAATAATCTTATATAGATAGATGTTTATAAATCTATACAGAAGTATATTTCTATGAATATATATGATTAAAAAAATCTTGTGTAGTACTCTGTAGACAGCAGTGTCTAAACATACTCTAGAAAGTTGTTTTCCCAAACACATGGTGTTGCTAAATGCATTGTCTGGAGTCCTGAAAGCTTCCTAGATGCATCCTATAACACAATATTTAGAAAGGTTGTTCAGATATGTTCCATATAAGTATTTAAATGACCAATACTAGGATCAATTGTTTCAAAATTAAAAGGAAAGCACATCTGAAGCCCTTCAATAATTAATTTTTTTTAAAAATTAACATTAACCATAGTCAGATTACAAAAGCTACTGGAAAATATGGCAAGAAGAAGTACCAGTATAGAAAAAAAGCTGATTTGGGTAGTGAATTCTTAAGAAGAATCCTTAACATTCTTAAGAAGAAGATCAACATTTGGCATGGGGAGGGGGAAGAAGTAAGAAGAGAAGAAAGGCACAGAAGAGAAGATCAAATGAGACAGATGACTTAGAGTAAGTGAATCAGGAGTGCTGATTAAAACTCTAAACGTTTGAAAGGAGATGCAGAGATCAGATACTAGTTAGCATTGCTTGTCATCTTGAAACAAACTGAAAGAGACAAAAGGAGTCAAGTAAATGCTGGCAGACTCTAAGTATTTACATTATTGGAAAGCCTTAAAAAGAGACCTTTGGACTAAAACTAAAATCCATCCATTTACTTCCTGAAGTTCTTTCAGATAACTGACAAAACAGGCTGAAGGGCTCTGAAAAAGTTTTAGCTAAAGGGACCAAAGACAAGGGTGATGAAGTGAGAATCTGGTAATCAGAAAAGCAATATATTTGCCCTGTACTGCTTAATCCTCCCTGAACTGACTCTGAATTTAAGTCATACTTCACTCAGTAATCTGTACTTCTGGTCTATAAATAAACAAAAAGAAGTCTGGGCAACTGAAGGTTAACTAAGTGTGTTAAAAGTCAACTGCACAGAAATATTTGAAAAAAAGAACCCTGTTAATCATTCCTTCTCTGAAACAAATTCTGAAAACAGAATTCTGAAAAAATTATTTATGAAAAAAATCATTCTGAAATTCTGAGTATTCTGAGGGAATTCTGGGGAATCTGACAGCTAGCAAACCACACATACACTTCTCTCACCATCTCATTCCAAAATAATCACTTGAGAAAATAAACAACCTGTTGCAGCATTACTGAGTTCAAACAGATGCAAATTCCCCATTACTGTAATAAACTTTTGGTTCATTTTCCTGGTATGCATTGTATGTTAGTGAAGTTAAATGTAATATGCTACTTTGAAAATTGTTTATTTCTAAATGAGCTATTGCAAAAAAAAAAAAAATACAAGTGTGCAATAGTATTTGAAAGCTCTCACACATTGTTGGATGTACATCATGCTTCACCCACTGCAAATCTTGGCCACAGAAATGGAAACCATTAGCAAAACATTAAAGCTGGAAACTGCTGATTATCAGTTTGCCACTGTCTTCAGATTTAATGCAGTACTTGGCTCAAAAAGTTCTTTAAAAATCCCCAATATAAGTGAAAATATTTACAAAATAGAATGTCTCTCACTTAATGCCTATTGGGCAATAGTCTTTTAAAACTCCACAGACACTTGTAAATCTGTCAAAAGAATCACTGCCCATAAACAAACTTTCACGTAAAGAGCATTGCAGTGTCAATCAGACAGGATTTGGAATTTTTTAAGCACTATTTTTAAGTAAACGCAAAACCAGAAATAGTTGAATGTTGATAACAGTAAATTACTAACTATTTACTCACCAGAACCCACCAGTAGCATTTACAGGAATCATCCTGACAGTGAAACCAAGTATCAACACCATGAATTCTTATAAACCTGTCATTGACATTATCCCCCATGAGTTATGCCACTGAGAAAGCTGCTAAAACCCCACTCTTCTTGTCTGTTCAGAGTGAGCTTGCCATTTTCTTTTCTTGTTATAATGCAGGCTTATCTTTGACAAGAGGGTTACTAGACACTAATTCTTTTTTAGAACCCTTACCTTTTCTGTTTCAAAGGGGATTTGAAACCATACCACTAACGAATTCAATGTAGCATTAATAACTCCAAATTTCTGTGTAAGAGAATCCATATTTTTTTTACAGTGCAGAAGCCTGTTACACTACTTGGGCTTATATACCAAAATAAGAACCTAACAAGCTTCAGACAAAATGCATAAATTCAAATTACTCAGCAAGCACTCAATAACTTCTGAATGATTTAGTTTGTTTTGTTTTGCTTTATTATATTTTCTTAATTGCAAACAACTTTCCAAGTTAAATGAAAGTTACAGGAGATGCATCTTTAGCCTTCGGACACAATTGCAGGATTCGATTATATTCTCTGGTTATTACATGCAACTTAGATACATATTTACTGCAGGTATGCACATAAGAATGTTAGCTTTATTACAAGCCATTGTAACTGTGCCATCTACAGCTCTTGTGCTTAGTTATAGCTTTGCAAGTAAATGTTTTCTTTCAGATACTTTTAAATAAATGTGGAGAAGGGAAGAGATTTATCTTCATTCCTTTGCTGTACACTATATGAATTTTGACAACTTCTAACTGAAAGTGATTATGCTACTACTGACCTAGAAAACTTTCACAGACAGTATGTTATTTGCATTTGTGGACACACATTGATAAACAGTACACATCTCAATGATGGCAAGATACAAAGGTTCAAGCACTAACACTAGCCAGAGCTGGGTTGCCTTTGAATCAAATAGAGGGAAAAGCGGTGAAGTGGGGTGTGAGGTTTTCTGAGACAAAAGTATCTGAAAAACATAGACGAGGATAAAATTGTGGTGGTACTCATTTTCAAGCTTAATTTTTATTGTCTTAAATAAACGTCAACAATTTAATGTTAAAAAGTGCTAGCACACATAAAACTAAATACACCATTCTAATCTAATTCTGATTAATCACTTGCATAGTTACTATTTTGTGCAGTTATTTTCAGCTAATTTAGAAGAAATGTGCTTCTATGCATAATAATTTTCTTCATCCATTGATAATTCAGTTTTCTTGAAAAGCCATTTCAGAGGATAGAATCTAATAAGTAAAACTTTAAATGGTCTGATCTTTATTTTAAATGCATTTTCCTTCTGACACAGAAAAAAGTATCTGTTTAGGTGCTCAAGATATTACATTCAGCTGAGACAGAGAAACATTTCAGTGATAAGCTATGGAAAGTGAGACAATTGAATTAGTGGCATACAAAACACCCTGTAAAGTTCACCTGTTCTAATGGAGTTTTAAGTGAAGTCAAGAGTTGGACAACTTGACAATTCTCAGAAGTCTGATCTGACTTTGTCTTTCAGATTTAAGATTTGTGAACTTTTTTGTTTGGTTCTTAGAAGTTCAACAACAATTTGAACTTTCATGGTATCTGTCAGCCCTATATTAGTTTCAACCAACCTGAAAGAAAAATTGATTTCTCTCCTCATTTTGTCAAAGGGTATCAACATTTTAAATAAAACATTTAAAAACCTTTCTGTTAAGATTGTTTCCTAAAAATACATTTAACAAAATGAACAAAGATTGCTAGTAAGACTAAATATTTTTCACACCATGGCAACATATCTGAGACTCTGGTTAATGTATCTCTCTAAAAAGGTAGTTTACATTCAGCATGCCCTTCAGT